AGATGAATTATTCATTACATAATATTATTTTGGTACAAAAAAAAGTATTTATTGTTACGTATGTTTTCAAGTCAAAATCCATTTTAATTCAAAAAAACAAAAAGCGGACGGAAACATGAACTCACCTCACTCTGCCATGTAACATGAACTCACCTCACTCTGCCATGTCTGTTACTATACATGGCTTTCATAGATAGTCAAGAAACATGATCTTCATACACAATTTTAAAAGAGTGATGCTATTAGCATATACCTAAATTTTTTGGACCTCAATTTTTAATTTTTCTTTTATTACAATTATATCTTAAAATAAAATTATATTAAAATACATCATTTAATGAAATACTCACCTACTAAATAATAACTAACACTATACAATATTGTACACTCACCCCCACATCTACCTCCACCTCTAACGATACGTATTCCACCTTTCTAAACCCTAAACCTGCTATTCTTCATAACCAACTAGCATAAACCTTAAACCCTAAACCTGTTACTCTTCATAATCATCTTAAACCCTGAATGCATCATCTTCACTACCATCATAAACCCTTATGGACCAGAAACTTTGAACCAAAAAGCTTTTTCAAGTCCAATGTATTACTCTTTATCAGTTATTTCACCTTGTAGAGCAATTTTGATGAGACTAGCGTTCTATTGATAAGTTTATTTATCTTGCATTAACATTCTTGACCGTTTTAAAATTGTTATTATTTTATTCGAGGTGTTCGGTTGTAAGGCCCTGGTGTCCCACATCGGGAATGGAGGGGAAGTTCTTGGGCTATAAAAGTAAAAATCTGGACCCTTATATAGCATCGAGGCCTTTTCCCAAGTGGTGAAATCCCTATTAGAACTCCCCAGTTAAGCATGTTTACGCTGGAGTAGTTCTAGAATGGGTGACCCACTGGGAAGAACAAATCCGTGCGGGCATGACCCAGAGCGGACAATATCGATGACGTGTAAAGGGTCGGGGTGTTACAAATGGTATCAGAGTCGACTCTCCGGAGTACCGAGTGTGGGCCCCTGGCGTCTCTTGGTGCATGTAGGCGGGCTTGCGAGCTGGCAGGCTACTGCACGGGGACGTGCAGCCTTATGGGGGGTGGATTGTAAGGCCCCGGTGTCCCACATCGGGAATGGAGGGGAAGTTTCTGGGTTATAAAAGTAAAAATCTGGACCCTTATATAGCATCGAGGCATTTTCTCAAGTTGTGAAATCCGTATTAGAACTCCCCAGTTAAGCGTGCTTAGACTGGAGTAGTTCTAGGATGTGTGACCCACTGGAAAGAACAAATCCGTGCGGACATGACCCAAAGCGGATAATATCGATGACGTATAAAGGGTCGGGGTGTTACATCGGTACTGGTTTGTCGACTATTAAGATTATGTTTGGTAACACAATACTGGGCACAAATATTTAGTTCAATATATGAGTTCCAAACAGTAATACAGATAATCGATACTTTTGAACCGAACATGACCTTTATTTTCGGTATTGGTGTGCTGAACGGTTTGATTTTTATATCTTCAACACCATATTGTATTTTTCATGAGAGTTTTTCCCTCTAAAACCCCATTTTACGCCGAAATAAACTAAAAAATAAAAATATGATAAGAAGAAGACAGACAATGTTGTTGATAAGATGGGGAGTTAGTATTTACCTAAGAGGAATTTTCGACAAGTTTTTTGAAATGGTGGACATGAATTTTCGACGGTATTCTTTAGACACCGTTTAGTCGATTCCTCTTTTCATTGAGAATTGACAAGAATTTCAATGATAGATTGTTGATATAATGTTTTTCATTGAGGCAATGGTGTTTACTAATGCAATGACCGTCGACATTCTTTTCAACTAGAGATGGACGCTCATCAAAAAGAGAATGAGAGAGGGTATGCAAAATTAAACTGGTATACTTTAAATGTGATAACATTATGAATAGAGATAAAAATTACATTAAGGCCTCGTTTGATAAGTGACTTTTTTAACCAAAAAGTCAAAAAGCCGCTAAAAAAATCAAAAAGTCAATAACCCATACTAAAAAGTCAAAGATCTATTTTCTCTCTACTTTTTTGCACATCTTTTCATAAAAAGTCAAAAAATCATTAAAAAAATCTGTTCCTAAACGAGGTCTAAATGAAATATTAAAAAAAATGTATTAAAATTTAAAATTTAAAGGGAGTTTAAAAAATAAAGGGCTTGTTTGGTTTGTTTTTCAGAAAAAATTTTAGGAAAAATTATTTACAAACAAATTTTGAAGAATAATCAAACGAAACAAATTCTTAAAAAAAAATTTCCAAATTTTGTTTAGTTACCTACTTTTCAAAATCACTCTCTCTCATACACATCAAATCAATGATTTTTTTTAAAACTGTCTCCCCAAAACATTTGTCCAAAACTATTTCTTAAAAAAGACAAATCAAACAAGTTTTCATACTTTTTATCTAAAAAACAATTTTACAAACACAAACCCAACAAGTCCAAAGAATCCAAGCAATTTAGACACATACTAGTATGATAAAATAGAAGCATAATGCATCCGACACACTATGTGAATGTTTGGGAAGTGAGTTTTTATGTAAGTGTTTTTAGTTGTAGGATATTATTGGATAAATTTTTTTTGATGTTTGAAAAAATAGTTAGATTTTTTTGTGATGAAATGTGATATTTGTGAGAAAAAAATAAAATAATAATAGAATTAGATGTAATATTTTATTTAAATTTATTTTTTTAATTTTATAAAAAATTTATCTTTTAATAAATAAAATAAAAAAAAAAAATCAAAAACCAAGGCCAAGTTTGACATATAGCCAAAAAGCTAAAAAGCCAAAAAGTTACTCAAAAAGTTAAAAAGTTAACACTATTCATCAAAAGTCAACAATTACGGCTGCACAACTCCCAATTCGAATTTTACCCTACAAATCAATTTTTACAATTTTTTATTACACATTTTTCCATAAAAAGTCAAAAAGTTAACCCAAACATCCATATTTTCAACCTCAATTTTTTAGTCCAAAAAGACAAAAAGTGCACTTATTTAGGACACGCCAAACAAGCCCCAAATCTTGCCTATATCTCACTGACTGCATAATTAGTGAGAACAACTGCATCTGCAGAGAAAGATAAAATTGACAAAATCTTTTCCGAAACAGACCCGAATCTCCATCCATCTCGTCCTGCAGCCATAAATAGCATCTGCAGCTGACCCCAACCCGCATCCATCTTGTCCTGCAGCAAAAAATAGCATATGCAGTAATATTAAAACAGCAATGATTGAGGATCATAATTTTTGTAACTTAAATGACTCGAAATTACTAAAATGACGTCGTTTTGAGTACAAAACAACTTTAAAATTGTCAAAACGACATCGTTTTGACAATTTTGAGCCATTTGAACTACAAAAATTGTGACCCTCAAATATTTTCCATATTAAAAACATAAAGATTCGTCAAATCTTATCTAAAACAGAGACGTCAATCACCAGCCATCACGTCCTGCTACAAAAAATCTCCATCCATCTCGCCCTGTTAAGAGCCAACGACTGAAAGAACTCCCCCACCAGTCTCCATAAGCTTCTCTCTCTCTCTCACAGTTTCATCTTCCTCTTTTCAACCCTCTGAGTTCTAGATTAATCCTAATAATTAAGATTTGTTGTTTTTTTTTTTGTTTCAGATTCTATGCTCTGTTTGGTTGCCGAGAAAAGAGTGAAGACATAGTAATTTTTGGAAATTGAATCAAAGTTTTTCATAATAATAATATGCTTTTTCCTGATGTGATTATTTTCTTTTTAGTTTTATGATAATCCTAATTTATTTTCAATAGCTCTCTTGACCAGGTTTTTGCTTAATCATATTTGTGAGAATGAAATGGAACAATGCAAGTTCTTCGGGGACTGCAAATGCAGAAGTCTGTCATAAGCCTAGTGATGTTCCTAGAATTCTAAAGAGGTCACCTCATGCGATACTGGCATTGTTTGTTCTGATGATAAATGGCTCTTGGGCTGTTTAGGCTTGGTTTGGGAAGTGGGTTGGTTTTTTGGCTTTTTGATTTTTTTTGACTATTTTAGTTTGGGTTTAAAAGCTTGGTTTGGGAAGGACTTTTTTGACTTTTTGACTTTTTTGAGTTTTTTTTGAGAAAAGAATGTAATGATTATAGGTTGGATGTGATGTTTTGTTTGTTATGGTTAAAATAACCTATTTTGTTTTTTATAGTTAAAATAACCAAAAAAAAATCCTTTGAGAATTTGCCTACGCCTCTTACTGCTGATGAGGCAGGCAAGACGGGCTTTTCTGAGGAAGAAGCCATGAATTATGTAAAGGATTTGACTGATTTCGGCCCACGTCCTGTCGGTTCTGATGCTGTTGATCTTACTCTGCAGGTTAGTGTAGAATTAATTTGTTTCTCACGAGTCCGGATCCTCTGCAGGGTTTTCCTGCAGCCCATCCTGTGGTGCAAGGCAACGACGTCGTTTACCCTTTTTTTTTTTTTTTTTTTTTTCCAGCTTCTTCTCTGCTTCTCTTTTCAGAGACAAAATCCCCAAAAGTTCCAAATCGAAAACCAGAGGAAGACGAATGTTTGAAGACGAACAAAGGTCCGACGAACGGCGGTGGACCGACGACCGGGAAGATGAACGCGGAGTCCTACCAAAGGCCCAAAATGTCTCAGATTCTATGTATATATATGTATATGTATATATGTCATATATGTATCAAGTTATATATATATGTTATAGGTTCTATATATGTCTCTTCTTCTTCTATATATACACATATATAATGATATAATATGTACTGCCATGGTTTTTCAATTGCAATTTTGTAAAAAATAGGACTTCTCTTTCATTTCAGGTTCTCTCTCTCTCTCTCTCTCGCCACTAAGCCTCCGTTTGGCAAGAAAAAGCCCAGGCTTTTTTGGCTAAAATAGCCACAAAAAACAAAATATGCTATTTTAGCCACAAAAAACAAAAAATCAAATCCAACCCATAATCATTACAATCCTCTCTCACAAAAAAAGTCAAAAAAGTCAAAAAGCCAAAAAGCCCTTCCCAAACCAGGCTAAAATAGCCCAGGCTAAAAAAGCCAAAAAGCCAAAAAGCCAAAAAGCCAACCTACTTCCCAAACGGAGGCTAATACGGATCAGAGCCACCATGCCAAACAAGGCTTTTGAAGCTACACAGTGACTCATCTACCCTCTCCTCCTCTCTCTGATCATCATCTTGTTCAGTGTCTATGGCTGCTTCAGCTTGTTTCTGAGGTACCATTTGTTTCTTTTCTTTACTTCTGTAGAGATCTGAAACAACTCAAAAGGACAAAGCAATTAACAAGCCAAAGCCGAAACAAAAGCAAACCCAGAAGTGACATGATCTTCATCTTCATGAAAAATTGGAAGAATCTCTCTCTCTCTCTCTCTCTCTCTCTGTCTGTCTAGATTGTTAAAAAAGAAAACAAATTAGATGAAGCACCAGCTCTTACACTTTACCATAATATAAGAAATGAGAGAAGAAAAAAAAAGGTCAAAAACGACGTCGTTTTTGACCACGGCAGGGACCACCGCAGGAATGTATGGCAGAAGATCCGGACTCGTTTCTCACAAGCTTGTATGAACATCAATGTACTTTTGTTGGATGTAGCTGCATGATCATCACACCCTATCTATAAAACCTACACCTTGATATATGCAATTACATCAATACTTTATGCTGCAATGGGGGTGTTTGGGAAGAAGAAAAACATCTTAGTTTAGGTTAAAAATTATAAAAAGATAAAATAGGCTAAAATAGTTAATAAGACAAAATATCACATCAAATCCATAATCATTTCACTTTTTCTCTCACAAACATCACATCTAACCACAAAAAAATTCAATCATCTTTCCAAACACAAAAATTTTAGCCTACTAAAATAGCTAAAAATTAAAATAGCCTACTAGAATAGCCACTTCCCAAACGAGGCCAATATCTGCTCTTCAATTGCTAGGTTATGCAGCAACTGTTCACCAGGTGTGGTCACAAAAAGAACTAGAAATGTGAAATATGTGCAAGAAATAAAGTAGAGGCTTAGTGATGGTGAGATTTGAACCTTACATCTTTTTATTCCTAATAACAAGGTGCAACTGATCTTCAATGCATCTTCTTGTTGAAGTTCTAGAACTACTTACATTTAAGTGATTCACATGTTAGATTGGGTAAAGATGGGCTAGGTGACGGTTGAACTAGCCACCATATGAATTGACGGCTGGTTTGGTTCTGATAACGATGGTATGATTTCACTTTTGGCATTGTTTGGGAAGTGGCTATTTTAATAGGCTATTTTAGTTTTTGACTATTTTAAGTAGGCTAAAATTTTTGTGTTTAGGAAGATGATTGGATTTTTTTTGGTTGGACGTGATGTGTGTGAGAGAAAAAGTGAAATGATTATGGGTTTGATGTGATATTTTGTCTTATTAACTATTTTAGCCTATTTTGTCTTTTTGTGATTTTTAACCTAAATTTAGCTATTTTTTTTCTTCCCAAACACCCCGTTTGTATTGTCCTGGTATATTGTTTGTGTGCATTAGTGTATCTTTAATTTTTGACGCCTTTCAATATAGGAGCTGAACATTTCCTTTTGGCATAAGAACTATAATTAACACTATACATTTTTATGCTGTCAATTATGATTGTCTATATGTATGCATATATTGTTTTGTCTGATCTCATAATTTTCGGTCGGTGCACATTCTGCTTATTTATTCTCCCTTATTCCTAAAAATTGTTGTCTAAGAATGGCCATTTCGTGATTGCTTTCTTGAGATTTTATCTTGTAGAAAACTTCTTTTAACATGCATCTCTCTGCAGGATGTCTTGGCTGTATAAGAAAATATGAGGAAAACAGCTCATTGGGTGGTTGATGTTCCAGTGGATTTTTTTCATGCACACTCTGGTGCCAATCGGCTGGTCGGTGGCCTTTTTAAGGGAAGAACACTTATTCAGATCTAAATCACATTGTAGTGACCGTATCGCCAAAACATGCATCTGATGAAGACGAAAGTGCTATTCTGATCTCCTCCCATATTGATACCGAGTTTTCAACGTATGTTTCCTCTGTCTCTATAGTCCTATCCAGTCACAATAATCTTCTTTTTTTTTTTTTTTTTTTTTGGTTGTGTTCGTGTGTGTGTTTAGATTAGATTATGTGTGTTAATTTAAGTTAAATAAATCTATGTGGGCACCGGAAAGTAATAACTATCTACATTAATTTTTTCTTTGATTCTTTTTTATTTTGGGGGTGGTTGTAATGAAATCTTTAACAATTGTTTTTTTTTTTTTTATTATTTTGTATTTGTATTTGTATTTGCAAGTGTCTATATTGGATATGCTATGAATTGAATGAGAAAAATAAATAAGAAAACAGTAGTGCATACTGATTTCCCTTTTTAAAAGGTTATATGGTATTCTCGAGATCTTAATCTTGTCACAATCGAAGGAATAGGAAATGCAGTAAAGCTCAAACATCTCAAACTTTTTGTATCAGTGTTGGCCTCTTGTTGAATTTCTGGTTTTCTGGCTTGTGTAAAAGTGATCTGTATTTTGTCTTTTTACTGCCAAGGAAAATTGTTTGAATTTTTTTGATAAGTAAAACAGTTACGAACAAAAATGCCTTAAGGGGCAAATCCTATACATTCAAAAGGCCACAACCTATATATATCCATAGGCATGCACAAATTGCCTATAAACTGGACAAAAGATGCAGCAGTGAAAGGACAATCGTCCCTCAACCAAAAAAATAACAGTAGTAAAGATCCTTTCATGCTAGACAAAGGTAATTCAATATCCTCAAAGGTCCTCTGACTCCACTCTCGCCAAATTGTCCGCAATACACGGAGAGCTGCAGTCTTTCTATTGAATACTGTGGTTCAAAATGTTCCTATTCTTCAGTTTGTTATTCAACGCAACTCAATTTAACAAGTCTTAATTCCAGTGTTTCGGGTTGCTGCATGGATATTTTGTTCCTCTAGTTTCTCCTATTCCAAGCCAGCCATATCTTCACGTAAATCCAAGTCGTCATGTTATTTTTCACTGCCTTGATCCATGTCCTCCTTGGTGGTTCAGTTTGTTCCTATTCTCATTCACTATTCATACGTATGCAAAATAAATGTGAATCAAGATAAAAGCTCTTAATTATGTTCCAGTCTATCTTAACCCTTTTATTAGGGCCCTCAACTTGCAAGGTTTTTACTAGTTGTTGTGACACTATTCTTCACTGCTTCTCTTATTCTAGTTTCAGGCTAATACTATGTAGCACACCCCCACCGGGATTTGTGGTTTCTTGCATTGGCAACATTCATTTTGTCAAGTATTACTAGACAATCACATAAATTCAATTCAATTCAACATAAAGCCTTGAAACAAATGTATATGGTTAGATAATTTCCACAGAGAGAGAGGTAGGGAGAACTTAAGTATCATCTCACCTTTTTGACAGCCTTTTTTTCCTTTTTGGAGGGGCATCAAAATATCTTACCAGAACATAAATTGTTTGAAATTATTTTGTATACTTCATTGCTTAAGATATTATGGAATTTGAAAAATTGAATTGTAATGGATGATAAGGCATGCCTATAAGTCCTTTGAAGGTGCATATCTTAATTGAATTTTTTTTAATCTTGCATAAGCTTTAATATTAGCTTTTAATTTTTGTATTAGAAGTAAATATTGGGCTATCTTATTTTATTTTTAAGTTCCTAAACCAAATATTGGCTTAATACGTATTATTGTATCTGATTCAATATATTAAAGGCGAGAAACACATTAATTTACTTGTTTATAATATTCAAACAGAAAATAATGTGCAATATCGTATCTTCAATTATCAACTTTTATAGGTAAGTTGGTTAACATGGTAAAATTTGCAAAGACCATCGAGTAGTTGGCGTTGTTGCCTACCAGTGTGGTCGAAAGTCAGGCTGACGGTGGAATCCTTATCACCGGTGACCAAACGGTAAAGGGGGGGTTTTGATGGAAAAGAAAAGGCTAGCTGGAGGGAATGGTGATCAAAGGATTTTGCGTAAACAATGGGATCACAGAAATCCTAGAGGATTTCAGAGATTTTGGGGAAGGGGTGGGGGAAGTTTACCATATCCTTTTTCTGTGGGCCTTACGGGTGCACAACAGAGGTTAAAGGCCCAAAGACCGAATGGGCTAGGTGGGGGTTTTATTAATGGATTGGGCTACCTAGAGGCCCTGAGTGGGAAAGATACCCAACAACCTAATGGGCCAATTAATTTGAGGTAGGGGCAATAGGCCTAGAGGACAATTCAAGTGGGCCCAAGGAAGGAAAGGGCTGAGGTAGTTTTGAGCCCAAAGAACGATGATTTGCCTTTCCCACTTTGGGGCAATCCGAAAACCCATTAATGGGTTGGCTTTTTGAGTCTTTACGCGAGACGCTTAGGTTGCAGATGAAGGGCCATCGACGTTGGTCAGAATAGAGTCGCCAACACCAACGATGAATTGTAATGCTTTAGAGGCATTGTTTTCTTGAAGAGGACCTGTTGTGTTGATACCAGAGACGGTTCATGAGACGATCTAGGACACTAAATATGGGAAGATGGTTTGAGTTTGTGTCGCGACAAGAGGGGATAGAGTTTTTGGGCGATGATTACAGTACGGATGCAAATGAAATGTGGGATGGGTGACATCAATTGGAAGTTTTTGATGTGTGTTTTATAGTAGGTGGGGGTTGCGGATGGGTGGTGGTAGTGAATTCAGTTCTGTATATCTACAATTCAGATGTCGGTTATGGTCAATGGTACGCTTGCTAGTTTCTTTCCCACTCATAGGGCCCTAAGGCAGGGTGATCCGCTATCTCCCTTACTGTTTATCTTAGTTATGGAGGCGTTAAGCCGTTTGCTATCAAAGGCAGTCCAAGGGGGTTTGTTGGTAGGTTTTGAAATGGGTGAAGATCTTGCATCGAGGATGGGTGTTTCTCATATACTCTATGCTGATGACGCACAAATTTTTTGTGATGGGGATGCAGCTTAGATTGGATTTTTACGGTGTCTGGTGCTTTGTTTTGAGGCAATATCGCGACTTCAAGTGAATTTAGCAAAGTCGAAGCTGATCCCGGTAGGAGAGGTCGTTTGGTTACTAGTTCTTGCAACTGTTTTGGGCAGTAAGGTGGCTACATTACCAATATCTTATTTGGGTTTACCTCTTAGCATTACTTTTTAGGCAGAAAGGGTGTGAGATGGTGTGGTGGATCGAGTTCAGAGACGTTTGGCAGGCTGGAAGCTGTAGTACTTATCTGAAGGAGGGAGGGTTACTTTGATTGAGAGTGTTTTGTCCAGAATTCCGACATATTTTATGTCGGTGCACATGATTCCTGTGGCAGTTACGAGGCGGATTGAGAAGCTTCAACGAGACTTTTTATGGGGTAAAGGGCGGGAGGGTTTCTATAATCATTTGGTGGCTTGGGATCGGGGTTGTCAGCCAAAGGAGGAGGGGGGTCTAGGGATTTGGCGCTTGAGAGAGTTTAATATGGCTCTTCTAGGGAAATGGTTGTCACGCCCTAAAATTTGAACAATTAAATATGAAATTAGGACTAAATTTTGATCAATATTCCATTATCTAAATACTAAGGGTAAAACAAAATCTAAGGCTGTGTTTGGTTTGGAGTTTTAAACATGATCCACACATATTTGAGTGTGGTGTTTGGATACAACTTTCAAAAATTGATTCCTCACTCACTGGCGAAAACATGTCTACCTGGTCATCTTCCCGGATGTCCCCCTGGATGTCCGGTCGGTCGACCGGAGAAGTGTTTGTGTTTATTTATTTTTATTTTTTAATTTTTTTTACACCTGCTATTTTTATATTTTAAATAAAAAATATTTTTGGAATTTTTTTAAAATTTTATTTATGAGCCTTGAATAGAATTTTGGATTGTGTTTTTGGTTATGAGTTGTAAATTTTTGAATCAAATATCATGTGACACATCAAAAATTTCAAACTCAATTCAAAACTCTTTTCAAAACTCATAATCAAACAAAATTTTCACACTCATATCGTAATTTCAAAACTTACAGATTCAAAATACAACTCTATTTTCAAATCATAATTCTAAAACTTTGCCAAACACTATCTAAATGTTTTGTCTCAATTTGGTTTAAGTAAATTTCAATGCTCAAAAAAAATTACAAGGGATAAAAAAAAAAAAATTTAACAAAATGCGAACCAAACCATCCATCATAAATTCATAACAATTCACTACCTCCAATATTAAAGTAGCAAAAAACAGTCAAAACAACTTAAATAATGTAAAGTTAGAAAATAACCCACAATGCCAAATTATCAAAATACTATGGTCATAAAAATAAATAAATAAACTAATATCCACCCTAAACTCCAGAAAACAAAAGAAATCTGAGAGACATGTCCTACAATAATAGTTATTTCTCGTCACTACCGTAGTCCTAACTAATCCTACAAAGGACGTTCGGCTGTGCTCAAACAAAACACACCCGAGATGCCAAAAGACAAAACGGGTCAATGTACAAGTATACTGGTATGAGTACAAGATTTGACACCCACGTGTTCACCAGACACAAGAAAAAGTATATTTAATTCTTGTTACGGGACAAGACAAGTAGTTCCACCTGCACCGAGATGAAGGTGTAGTTTATTTAGTCTCTTGCCCGTACATAACTAAATATAAATTAAGTATAAAAAAAAAGAAATAAAAAAAAAATATGGTGGGTCAACCTTGGATAAAAAGTTAGTAAGTCACACCATTCTGCAAAAAAAAAATAAAGTCAATATAATTTAATTATAAGTAAATTGCTGAAGAAATATAAAAATGCAACATTCGAATTGACCAAAACTCAAAGAACAAAAGGTGTACGGAATCAAATTTTTTAAAAGGTAGCGCAGAAGGATTTAGTAGAAATTGAACAGGTTGCGAGAAAAACTTGATAGAAGAACCTAGACAGAATTCAACCGTGAAATTGAAAAGGTGAAACAGGACAGATTCCAAGGAAGGCAGACAGAGTTACTTCTGAAACCTCTACGTGCATGCCATCCTTGTGCTTCCATTGTAAATTGTAAATTAATGATTTCAAAATGGTTATAGTTATTAGCATTGTAATTAATATTGTTGTAGTAATGATTCGTTAGATAGTTAGCTTATTTTGTTGTAATAAATTAGCTAGTTAGTTATTTATTCATTCACTTGACTTTGTAATAATTAGTTTAAAGTTGGACATTCAGACACTCATTTGGACCCCTATTGTGCGAGGTTAAAATAGCATTTAAAGTCTGCATTGCTAAAAAGAATAAAACTATTGTAACCAAGATCATCCAATTACAAGTTCTAATTGATCTTTTTAGTACAAAGTTAAAATACAAAAGTTGTCTAGAATTATGTATACGTGCCTCTGTTCAAATTTTGGAATTTGTCAAGATCGTTTACTATTTTTCAAGATGAACAAATCAAAATAATTCAAATTTTACCAATAAGTTCATATTTAAGTTTTTGTATCTTAACTCCACTACTTCGGTCCTTCACTTCTAGCCTACACATATATCTGATGTGCCTCTTGTATACCTAACACCGCTGCAAAGCTAAACTTGCAAGGAGATATCGTCTCGAGTTTGACCCACACTCCCCGGACGGTTAGTATATACGTACGCGCGTGAATCAAAGCATTCGTTTACTTTGAGAACGAGGCAACAATATATATATATATATATATACACAACCCCTTATCTACTTATGAGAACAAACATAACAATGCCGAGCCTAAAATATTCAAATAAATCTCATAATCCTTTTTTATTTTTTTATTTTTATACACTTTTCGCACTAGCACTCAAATAAAACAACAATTCATGGAGTCATGGTGGAGTATTCGAAATTTATCTATGAGTTTATTTTAATTTCATATATCGATGAGAGTGATTACATCCATTGAATAAATATATACAAAAACCCTAAACTTTGCATACACAACTAATCAAAATAGTTGAAATTAATCCATCTTTTACATGCAAGTACAATATCGAACCAACATCAATAAATAAAAATAAAAAAATAAAAACAACGAAATAAACATAAATTAAGGAAAGTGGATTTTGTACTCACAATTATGTTTTCGAAGATCAAAGAAATACTTGGAGAATTAATGAAGCCACTAAAATAAAAATGTATCCTTTTTTTTCTCCTCTCTCTCCCCGTGGCTGCTGCTGCTATTACATGTTGTATTAGGCAACCTAGGGTTCCTATATATATATCTCTAAACTAAAAGCTCTAAATTATTATTTTTTGTTTTATTTATTTTCTCTTTCCATTAATTTAAATAAAATACAACTATTACTGGATCAAAATATACTAACTAATTTGTCCTTTATTTTGTTTTAATAATAAATCTAACCTCTAAATTAAAGACTTTCACCATAAATTTATTTTAGGTTTAAAATTAATGATAATAAATAATGACTTAAGAAAAATTAGGGTCGCTACAATGGTTGTGGCGGTTTGTGGGGGAGAGGGAGCAGTTGTGGCAGAAGGTGGTGGTAGCCAAATATGGTTTGGAGTAGGGGGTGGTGTATGGGGAGGGTGGGATAGTCTCATAGGCAGAGTTTATGGAAAGGTATTTGGCAACAGTAGTCGGAGTTTTGCAGTCGGGTTACTCTCAAGGTTGGTGAGGGGAGTAGGGTTCGTTTTTGGAGGGATAAGTGGTGTGGTGAGATTCCACTGGCAGAGAGGTTCCCTTTGATTTTCGATATTGTGGTGGATCAGGAGGCTACTGTGGCGTCTCATGGGACTGGGCAAGGGGGTGTAGTGGTGTGGAATGTTCAGTTGTGTTGTGATGTCCAAGGTTGGTAGTTGAATCATTTGGTGGGTTTATTGGGATTTTTGTATGGGCTTCGATCTGGTGGGGTGGGGGAGAATGTTATGTTATGGAATTGCCCAAAGACGAAAGGGGTTTTCACTGTGGCCTTGTTTTATTGGGCTCTTACGGTAAGGGTAGTGGCCCCCTTTCCTTAGCGGTATATTTGGGTGCCTGGGAGTCCTTTCAAAGTTGTGTTGTTTGTGTGGATGGCGGCTTCAAGTCATATTTTGACGATTGATAACTTGATTTGACGTCGGCATATTATAGTTAATAGGTGTAGCATATGCTGTGGAGATGTGGCGATGGTAAATCACCTACTTATCCATTGTCCAGTTGCTTCGAGGCTTTGGATGTTCATTGTGGCGATTTTTGGTTTGTCTTGGGTCCAACCAGAGACGGTGGTGGGCTTGTTACAAAGCTGGAGTGGTGGGAGGGTTGGGAAACGACAACGAAAGGCGTGGTTGCTTGCTGCTCATTGTTTATTGTGGCTTATTGGGCTGGAGCGTAATAGGTGAGTTTTTCAAGGGGTTGCTCATTTGATTTCGTGGTTGGAAAGTCGGTTACTTTTGGTGCTTCACAGTTGGGTTACACTTTCAATTGAGCTAGATGTCTTTGCTTTTGTAGATTTTATAAATGGCTTGGTTTGTTAGTTTTTGAGTTTTGTTTTACGTTTGGTGCTTTGAGCCTTTAGGTTCGTTTTTCGTATTTTTTGCATCATCTTTATGCACACTCCTCATCAGATTCACCTCGAGGCTGTCATAAGAATTTTGAGGTACTTGAAGTCTACGCCTGGTAAAGGTCTTTATTTTTCAATGCATGATCATTTTCGTGTGGAAGCCTATATAGATGCTGACTGGGCTGGATCAGTAACTGATAGGAGATCGACTTCAGGGTATTGCGCCTTTGTTAGGGGTAATCCAGTTATTTGGAGGAGTAAGAAACAGAATGTGGTTGCTAGGTCAAGTGCAAAAGTTGAGTTTAGAGCTATGGCACAAGGGGTGTGTGAGCTCGTCTGGATCAAGGTATTGTTGAGTGATTTAGGTATTGATCAGATGGACTCGATGCGGTTATACTGTGATAATAAGGCTGCCATCAACATCACTCACAATCCAGTTCAACATGACAGGAGAAAGCATGTTGAGATTGATCGCCACTTCATTAAGGAGAAACTCATTAGTGGCACAATATGTATTTCATTTATTCGGTTTGGTGAACAATTCGCTGAGATCCTCACCAAGAGAGTTGGGAGTAAATCATTGCATGACATCCTTGGCAAACTGGGCATGAGAGATATTTTCGCATCAACTTGAGAGGAAGTGTTATAATAGTATATTATTAGTTGGGTTATTATTTGATTGTAATTATTCTATGCCTTAAGGCTTCCTTGTAATTATTAATCTTCATTAATATAAAAAGGGAATGATATCACAATCATTCCCTAATCCTTTTTCTTCCCTAAACCTACTCAGTTTTGGTATGTACTTGCAGTTTCTACATTCCAACCTCTTCCTGTTTGGTCGGTCCAAATTGCGCTGTTTTGGTTTGCAACATGCCCAGAGCTAGAGGAGATCATTGCCTAAGTTCTGTTTACACAGATTAGTTGCATGAGAAAATTGACACTTGATGGTTGCAATTGCAAGAGTGCATATCTTCAAGCTTATTTGTTTTAGAGACTTAAAGTTGCTGCTTTAGCTTTTCAAGTACTTCCTTCAAGGGAATGGATTTTATTGAGAAGAATCATTTTGTTTTGCCCACCCACATTATCTATCATACATCCATTTGACACAAATATTATGGCCCATAAGACTCAATTCAGTATATTACCCTCGTTGATACCCTTGCATACACAGTATACTCAACCTTGCCAATTAAAAAAAAAGTATCTCAACCTAGTCATCTGAATCGTAGAATATTTGTTATTCCCTGTTCTCAATATTACTTCCTTAGTAATAATAGGCTCACCTCATTTTGTATACTTTAGGGAAGGAGCTGGTGATTGCCGTTCAAGTGTAGCTGTTATGTTGGAGCTTGCTTGAGGAATTTCTCAATCGGCTCATGGATTTAAGAGTTCGGTCATATTTTTATTTAATACTGGTGAAGAGGAGGGCTTAAATGGTGCTCATAGCTTTATAACTCTGGTTTGGCCCATTTAAGGTGCATCTAATTATTCAATTTGTTTATTAGTTTCCTTTACTATTTTTTATCCTCAATTTTTTCCCTAAAACTAGCTTGATTAGTTGAAGGGCATCTTCTTCTTTAATAGGTAATATTAAAAAAGCTGATATTCAGTGTATTGCAAACACTCTCTCTCTCTAGAATTAAGGCTGAAAATAATAGTTTGTCGCAACCAAACCAAACTAATTCGTTTTATGTTTTTTTTTGGCAAACCCTTTCCCTAACTAAGCATTCTTCTTCTTCTTCCTTTTTTTTTTTTTCCTCAATCTTTTAAGTTTTTTTTTTTTTTATAATGAGTTTTTAATATTCCTAGATCTCAACATGTTTAATTATTTAATTATTGAGAATTTGTTTACATTCTTAGTTTTTGCTTCCAAATATTTTGATAGTGTCCATGTAGTATTTATTTACTGTTTGGTTAATAGGTCAATTATTGGCCTCAGAAGCATAGAAATGCAGCAATTGAAAAGCTATTGACCTGGCAGTGAATGGAAGATAATGGCAGGAGTGGTAGTCATTCAATCACTTGGTAGCAAAATTGGTAATTAACGTTGATTGAACCTCAGCCTCGAAATTGCACCCATATTTATCTGTTGATGGCTCTTATGGAACTATATATCACTTCAATGCTATAGTTGTCATGTTTACCTATAGTTCTTATCAGTGCACAATTAGTATATTTTCTTGAACTGTTAAATGCAGTTTCACTTATTTGTATAATTTATCCCAGGTGCAAAAACATTAATCACCCTCATAACTTGTACTGTGTTTGGTCTCTCACTCACTGCTGTATTATCTGGTTTCGTTCCACCATTTACTGAAGAGCCAGAACTATAAATGTAAGTATCCTTCAGTCATTGGTATCAATACTAAATTATTTGTACCGAGTATTAACATTAATACTGTTCTATTAGGTTGCACAATGTCAGTTTATGAATTAACTACATCCTTGCAAAACTAGTGCCAATTAGGTACCTTACAATTGTCCAACTTGTGTGACATTTAAATTGTGGAACTTGCGAGAGTTTCTACCAACTGAACTCTTTAATTTATTCAAGTTGGTCTATATGTTTGAGGAGGCGTCTTTTTGTATGAGATATCTTCTTCCATATATTTGGTGCATGTTTAAATATGTTTGCAAGGTATTGTTGGACAATGATCACAATCCATGACTGTTTGTTTATATCCCCTTTTCATGACGAAGGACCAGAGTGCAGCTCTCCAAAACTTGTGCTTAAGAGAGAAGTAAAATTCAAGTTCCAAGAAGATATCATCTTCATCTTCCCTTATTATAAGATCATAACCTGTAGGTTACCCTGTTAAATTAGTTGAGACGATGCACTAAAAAATGAGATTTGGTAATGTTTCCATGATCATGTAGTCTGATGAATGACAATTCTGGTAGAGCAACTTAGGGGTTAGCTTCTGGGACTCACTACTTCTATTGCTTGTAGTATGTAGTTCTTGTTTACTATTTATCAACTTTTGTGAATGTTTCATTATCCACATTTCTTTGTCTGTCAGAGTCAGTTATCTTTTGGCTGATTTTCCTTAAATGTATTTTATCTAAATTATGATTTCCCTTTTTTGTGATGCAGAGACTGTGAGCCAATTTTTCTGTCTTAGACTCTTAACTGAGTCGAATAACTGAAAACTATTGCGCCAGGATCACATTTTTAATTACGGAAAAGTTGGCTAATTTTTGTCGTACATACTATGGAGGATGGATTTGTCTCCGCAGGTAGATAGCAAGATGGAGCGCTTGATCCCTTGTAAGAGAAACCCAGAGTCAGAGATCCTCCCGACCTAATTTGGTCGGGATGACCCTCCAACGATCAAGTCTGTAACTAGATCGGACATGGAAAGATAATATTAAATGCATTCTTGCTGGTTAGTTGTGTTTACCTGTAGTACTGCTGGGTCCTCCTTTTATAGCCAAATAGTGTGCAACTAGCAGTTGGCGTAGGTCGTTGGATATCGTCTTTTTCATCAGACAGCTGTTCCTTTGTTAATAGTCATTTCTCAAATGGTCAGCTGGATTGCTCTTGTTTTGGCCGATCTTGATCAGCATCATTGTGCTTTCCCTAGCCGTCCAAGACTTGGTCTTGGGCTTTGGGCATTTCTCTCATATGGGCCCGTTGGGGCTAAAAACCTCTTGGGCTGAATTCTTACTCCTCACACATAAATATGTAATTATGTGTCATTTAAATGGCATGGCTAGCCAAAAAGGTTTGACCTATGATCTTTTGAGACAGTCATTTCTGTTCCAATCCAACATAAAATTTCTTCTGCTGTTCAACAGAATACAGATGAAAGGACATGTGTATCTATGTGGACTTTTTATCATTAAAATATTTGTATGGTTTCGTTTAATTTCCATTGCATTCAAGCAAGAACATTATAGGACAAAATATTGAAGAAATTTTTTAAGAACATTTTTGAAAGATGGAAGGCATAATTCAGGTGTTCTTCTTTCTGCAGAATTTATTTATTTATTTATTTTTATTGTGGTTACACTTTCTGCACAGTTTTTAAAGTAGCAATCCTTTTGTTAGTAGTGACACAAGTTTGCTCAAAGTGTTGTGTTGTAACAGTGTTAGACACAACAACAATTAGGAGGAAGAAGTGTTTGTCATATATGGGGTTTACCTTAACCTAATCATCATTCAATTTGCTGGGCTTCTGCTGTGTTTTCTGTTTTTTGCTTCAGTACAATAACATTCTAGTTTATGTTCAAATTATTTCTAATTATGGGCACAATCTTTTAATCATTGTTGATTCTATTGCCAACTGTATTTCAGGTTGTGCATGTTGTGGATACAAGAGGAACATATGGTGAAAAACAAGAGCCTAGTTCTTATTTTTCTCTGTTTTCAATGACTCTTGGAAAGTTGACATAGGAAGTTGAACAGATTGGAGAAGGATTTGTTTGCGGTAGAGATAAGGTCCTTGACTTCGTTACCTTTCAGTAAAATATGGTTGCTTGACCAATGATAATGTGCGAAGTGGGTGGAGCCAATTAGAAATTCCCACGCTGCATGTCAAGAGCGATATAAGGAGGACGACAGAATTACACAAATTTTCATCGATACAAAAAGTTCCACACGCTGGACTCTTGCAATCAATACTTAGGAAATAGAAGACTTCAAGTTTAAAGGTATTGTATATACTAGTAAAATTCTTTCTTTGTTCTTTGCCCACTGTTAATTTTTAGATTTTTTGTGTTAATGACTGAAATACCACCTGTTCTTTCCAAAACATGCTTGGAGCCTCCTCAATTCTCTGGAGTAAACATTGCTAATAGTTTTTTTGTGCAAATACTTGGAAAAACCCTAAGTTTAACACAACTTAGACAGGATTGTAGTTTTGGATAAATTGTGTTTATTTTGACATGACGAATAGACTTAGTTCTTGAATTTTCTGTAGCATGCTCAAGTAACCATTAAGTGACGCTCAAGTCTCCTCAATTCATGGTCCACTTGTCCATTGATTTTTAGTGGATCAAATGTGCCAAATTTATTCAATCGACTCTTTTGAATTCTTTAATTATTAGATTTCAATATATTTGGGAAAAATACTATTCATATCCCTGTTTTTAAGTGATATATTTGCATAATGAGAATTCATGGAGTAGGTTCTTTAGCACTTTTACTAAACTATAATAAAGGCCACAACAGAAGTTAAGGACTTGAGGGGTAGTCCAAGTCTATGTTACCTAGGATATGGATCATTTTGGTCCATCGAACGGAAATGGAAACATGGTATGCCACATGTTATAAAATGTGATATAGGGGTAGACTTGTATATATTATTACACTAAAGAATTTACGATACGTCTAGAGTAATTTTCTTTTAACTATTAGGTATCTAATAAAATGTTTTTATTTATTTATTTATAATTTTGATATTTTTTCTTGTTAAAACTTAACTCACCTTACATTTTAGTTCATTATATTTGATTCCCCCCTAGCCCCTCCCCAGGTTACATTTAAGGAAATATATTGATCACTAAATTTATTGTTTTGTAACGGAAGTGTATCATGTTTTGGACCATGTGTATCAAGAAGTTATTTGTTTCGGTATTAGCCTTTTTTGGTAACATAGGTCCCAGTGTAAACATGAAAAACAAACATGTTGGCTGATGGGGAGAACCGATGAATGTGGACAAGAAAAGGATACAAATAATTCAGAGTTGATCTATCTCCATTGTTTTTTGAGTTGGTGATTGAAACACCATCTTTATTTTCTGATACATGCTAGAAGTCCCCTCAATTCTGTTAAGTAACAGCCTTTTTTTTTTTATTTTTTTAAACTTACCCTTTGAGTTTAACAGAACTTATGTTATGGTGACCGATTTATGTTTCAAAATGCGTTTTGAAACATATTACACCTTCGTGCCGGAATAGAGCATAGTGATAAAAAGTAATCCCCAAAGTTTTTCCCTATAGGTTTATTAGAAGAGAAAAGAAAAATCAAATACAATAACTAAAATTTAGAGAGAGTGGAGCTTTGAAACACAATGTTAAAAAACATGGCTCATGAAAATGTGCTTTTATATGATTAATAGGAAAAATAATAGACCATCTTTTATTGGATGCTTGATATAAGATTTGCTCTCACATTTAGAAGTACCTTTCATTCTAGTAATGTGATATATACAAGCTTACGACAATATTTTTAGAATAGGAAATTATATTCATACATGTCATTACGGTTTGATGTAATGGGCTGTAATGAGCTAGCCCATAACTCATGCCTTATGGCACTGTTGTAATTATGTTTTATTCTTTATACAAAAAGGAATGAGGTTTTACTCATTCCTTATCTCTTTTCTCTAAATCTACATGGTATCAGAGCCAAAACCCTAGCTTATACCTCCTTCACTTCTGTCGGCACTCATTCTTTTCGCTAGCATCACTGCCAACAGTTCTCTCTCTCCAGGAGTCCAATCGGCCAATGTAGACTCTCACCTAAGTCACCGACAGTCAATCTGCATCTCTGACACCCTTGCCCAGTTCATCGGCAGACCTCCTGGGCTCTCCGACAGCTTCTTAGGCTTAGTCGGTAGCCTCTCTAGCCTTCTAAGGGTCTGTCGATAGCCTTTTTCGCCTTCTAGGGGCCTATCAATAACCCCCCTATGCCCTTCTTGGCTTCTGTCGGTGTTGCCCCTGCCTCTTAGGCCTCTGTGGGCCATGCTCCAGACTGTCAGCTTCTCCAAACAGTCGGTCGATCTCCATAGTTTGTTTCTCTCTTTATTTCTCGTAATGTTTCCGACTTAAACACAGTTAAAAAAATATATATATAATTATGAGTTCTTAAGTCTTATGTTTTCATCGTGGAAGTTGGGTCTTTCCTGCTACTATTATCTTCCGAGTTTGTGATTGGTATTGTGTTTGAGAGTTAACTAGTAGATTATCCGTGGCAGATTCTTTTAGTAAGTCCACTACTTCGCAGCCACTTAAGAGCAAGAGTTCCTTGATACCTCCTATTATGACTGATAACTTCAACCCTGGCCTTAAGATCACCACCTCTATTTAATGGTCAGAATTATCTAGCTTAGTCGCAAAGTTTGACTATTTTTTTGAAGAGCAGAGGGAAGATGAGGTATGTTGACGGAAGGATACAGGTACCCAGTACCACGGATCCTAGTTATGACCAGTGAGAGATCACCAACTCCCTAATCATGGGGTGGTTGATACATTCTATGGTACCTCAGATGGGAGATGGCTACTTGTCTATGGACATTGCCCAGGATATTTGGGCGGCTGTCGCCATTATTTGCTCCAGGAAGGGCAACTTCTCATAGGCTTTCGAGTTATGTCGCTCTATTGAAAGGTCAATACAAGGTGAGATGACTATGCTCTAGTATTTTACCTTCCTTAGCAATGTGTGAAAGCGGCTTGATCACCTTAAGGATTAAAAACCTGTTTGTCCCACTGATTGTGCTGGTTACTGAACGTTTGTGGCGCAGTAGCGGGTCTTTAAGTTCTTGGAAGGCCTACTTGGCATGGACGTGCTTCATTCTCTCCAAGAAGCCTTTGCTTTTGTGCAGAATGAGGAGAGTCGCCGCTCTGCGATACTTCCTTTTGCTAAAGCCTTGGTGTTTGCAACTCCTCACGATACTCGTGGTCTCGTCACTCCTCTGAGAAGGATAATCTTTTATGTGATTACTGTCGTAGACCTCGACACATACGAGAGACTTGTTGGAAGCTGGATGGGACTCCCTCTGGTGGCCGAGGCGATCGTCCTGGTACTTGAGGGGGTCGGTCTGGTCAGTCTGGAAGCCGTGGGGCCAATGTTTGGGCACATCTTTCCGACACTGTTGAGCCATCATCTTCATCTCCTGTTGTCTCTCCTGCTGTTGATGTTTCGGGGCTATCTGCCTTGGATTTTGAGATTGCTCTTCGTTACTTGCTAGACCGTTGAGCCTCCACTTCTGCTACAGGTGTACCCTCTTCTTCCTTTGCCAATTCTGGTAGCTTGGCTGTCTATCCATGTGCATTGCTATCTCGGACGACTGTACCCTAGCTTATTGATTTTGGTGCTTCCGAGCACATGTCTGGCTCCTCTAATTTATTCTCCGAGTATAACACCTCCTCAGGTTAGGAAAAAGTACGTGTTGCTGATGGTACTATTTCATCTGTGTTAGGAAAATGTTTAATTTATGCCACCTCTTTCTTTCCTTTGTCTTTTGAACTTCATGTTTTCAATTTTAGTGTTAATCTTTTATCTTTGAGTCAGATTACTCGTGATTTAAATTGTAGCATAACGTTTTTTTCTTGATCATTGTTTTTTCGAGGACCTTATCACAAGGAAGAGGATTGGCAGTTGTAGAGAGGACCATGGTCTCTACATTTTGGATCAGACAGACAAGCTGGCTCATTCATCTATCTAGTCACCATCCACCAAGGACGACATTTGGCTGTGGCACTGTCGCTTAGGCCATCCCTCTTTTTTGTTACTTGCGCATTTATTTCTTTCTGTTTTTGAGAAAAATATTGCGTCTCATTTTCAATGCGGGTCCTGTCAACTTGGAAAACAACATCGAGCCTTTTTTGCTCCGTCTATTAATAAAAGTTCAGTTTCATTTTCTTTGATTTATTCTGATATATGAGATCCATTCCGTTGTGTCTGTCAAAGGTCAAAAATGGTTTGTTGCTTTCATTGATGACTGCTCTAGGGCCACTTGGCTATATTTGATGGGAGATAAGAGGGGGGTGTTTTTTGTATTTTAAAACTTTCATAAAATGGTTTGTACTCAGTTTGTCCGAATTCTACGTTCTGATAATGGGGGAGAATATATTGACTCTGGTCTTGTTAGTTATTTCGCCACTCGTGGCATTATCCACCAAACTTCCTGCACTAATACCTCTCAACAAAATGGTGTTGCCGAACGCGAAAATCCTCATCTCCTTGATGTGGCACGTTGTTTATCATTTGAGATGCGAGTTCCACGCTCCTATTAGGGGGAAACGGTTCTCATTGCCGCGTATTTAATTAATTGGCTTCCTACCTAAGTCCTTCAAAAACACACACCTCTTCAAGTCTTGTCAGGGTCCTCCTCTTCCGGATTCTCCATTCCTCTTAAGACCTTTGGCTGTGTTTGCTTTGCCCATAATCATTCCTCTACTTGTGTTAAATTGGATCCTAGGTCTCTTAAGTATGTATTTTTGGGTTATTCTGCCACCCAAAATGGTTATAAGTGTTATCATCCTTTCACTCACAAATGGTTTGTCTCTATGGATGTCACTTTGTTTGAGTCTCAGCCTTACTTTCCGGTCTCTCCGGTATCGTAGTCATCCCTTCAGGGGGAGCCTTGGTGTGAAGAGATTCCTGTTCCATTTTAGCAGTGGTTGCAACGATAGAGGATGATGAGCCAGTAGTTGTTGTGGAAAAGGAAGCATGCAAAATTTATATTAGGGACAAGGACATACATCAAGTCTCGTAGATGCAAGAGACGACTTTCCCTCCTCTATTGCCAACTTCTCCGGATTAGTGTCTAGAGTCACCCTCCTCTCCTTAGAGTCCAGGTAATTCTGATTCATGTGCTTCTATTCCTGAGTTTTTTGATCTTGATGTTCCCATTGCTAATAGGAAGGGGGTTAGGTTATATACTCAGCATCCTATTACTAATCATGTCTTTTATTCTAATTTTTCTTCCTTATATAAAACCTTTCTGTCTAAAGTGTTTTCTATGAGTCTACTTACCAATTTTCATGATGTTCTCTCTATTCCTGAATGGAAACATGTTATGATGGAAGAGATAAGAGCTCTCCACAAGAGTGACACTTGGGAGTTAGTGGAGTTACTTAGAGGCAAAACTCTAGTTAAATGTAAGTGGGTGTACATGATAAAACACAAAGTAGATGGTTCTATAGAGTGGTACAAAGCAAGACTGGTTGTTAAGGGCTTTACTTAGATTTATGGGATAGATTACCAGGAGACATTTGCACCGGTTGCTAAGATGAACTCTGTGAGAATCTAACTCTCTCGTTGCAAATTTGGATTGGCCGTTTCATCATTTTGATGTGAAGAATGCCTTCCTTCATAGAGACCTAGAAGAGGAGGTCTATATAGATATCCCCTTGGTTTTGCAGATGCAAAGCAGTCTCTTAGGGTTTGGTTTGAAAGGTTT